GAGTCGATGGGTCTCGTGAGTAAAGGCCGGTGCGGAACACCTGTTAAGTTTCCTTTCTTTTAATAAACGTATTCAGTGCTTTTCTGGGAAATAAAGGTCCTTTTACTCGACAACTACGTTGGAATGAATGCCATTAACTATAAGTGAAACAGAGTTTTGAATATAGCGATTTAAGAATTATGTAACATGGCTGGTGCTGATTGGCGGTTTGTATGAATACACCAAGGAGAAAAGTTAACGAAACTCGTAGTTGTCTAGAACCCGGAGGTTCCACACTGCTGACACCGTTGTCCGATACTGGGTAATATCGTGCCTTCCATCATTAAAAAGTATCTCTTTGCGTTGCACCTTAAAAATTATTCTTTCAACTTTTTTTTTTTTGATCTTCTAAGTGTATATTTTCCAAAAGATGTGTTTTTCATATATTCTGTGTGGATTCATCGTCTCCCACATCCTAGCCATATGTCCAGTAAATCATAGTCTTGGTAGATTTAATATCCTAAAAATACTAGTCTCTCTGTTTGGGTAAGTTGCAATTTTTTTTATTTAAGTTCCAGAAAATCAGTCTAATCTTTAAAAGATTAATTAAAATTAAAATTATAAACATTCGAATCGATAGATCGCGATACAGATAACTGGAAGAAGGGATTGATTAATAAATACAGAAATAAATGCAGGTGAAGTCGCAATTACGTCCCAACTTAAACGCATTATAATTCTAAAATTAACCTGGGGACAACCATATTGAGAACTTATAAAAATGAAACTTGTTAAAACAAACTTGAAGTTCGTTGCAGTATCACGTGTTTTATATCCAAAGCTTTGGATATTTCAAAATTATAATTTATTTAATCCGGGACCTAATTGTGACTCGACCTGAATAGTTAGCTAGTTGTTACAAATACATGTTAAACAAAAGAGAATTATCACGAGAATGAAATAAATTCAAATTGAATAATGGAACATAAAGGAATCGCAGTTCGTACGAATATGCATTGAATAGGTTCGGATATGAGTAGTTGATAGGACAGTCACGTGCTAATAGATTGGTACTTGGCAAATAGATACTTGGGTGGTTCATGAGTGAACAGATATGTTAATAGAGAAATGTCTGTTGTAATTACGGTCTGTTAAATTAATAGGATCTCGCATATTCTAACGGTAACCAAGGGTACATACTCTAGTCAGGATTCAACTGTCGAGAGTGTTCCTTTGAAGTAGCGTCTGTTGTCGTGTGTTCTTTGCACGAAGTGCACAGCGAGAACGCGTTATGGGCTGGTCGTGGCGGGCCGTTTGTTCGTCCGTCCAGTCGATTAAACTCGAGAACCACTCGGCGAATTTCGATTAAATTGTAAATGGAGGTTGTGCCATTCTGCACGACCTCGAAATCATACTTTTAAGTATCCTAAGAGAGGCGAGAACAAAATGACGCATGAGGAAAGTCGTGAGGTGGACATTGAGGTGTTGCGATCTGGTGGCCAACGTGGGAACTATCGAATGAGGTTATAAATACATGTTGTATATATTTGTTTAATATTGTCAGTCTGATCACAATAAAATTCCTATTAAATATTAAAATATTAAAATATTGCTATAATTAACATTTAAATATTTAAAATATATTAAAATAATGTTCTCTATCGAAATGTTCGATTTACAATTAGAACATCACTTTTTTACACGACATGTTTCAGTTCTATATGAACCATCTTCAGGTGTATAAATTATATAAACTTAAACTCAAATATAATTTCTTAAATGCAACTTTTAGTCAGATGTTTATCAGATATCAAAATGATGTTTTCTTCCAGATTTTTATTGTATTTTAATATAGGGGCCTGCATATTCTAGAACTGTGTAGTAGATTGTAGATGCTTCACGCTCTGACGTCTTTGATCCTGGGTAAATATCCCTCGATAAATAATGGGTACGACCCACGGCGGCGCTGATGATTCTGCCAGAAATCGAATCCCGTCTGTCTAGAACGTAACCACTCACTTCACTAAGTGAGCTAGCGAGATTTTGTCAGAGCTGTCCGTTATTACGGGATATTAATTATTTAATCAGTTCGGTTGAAAGCAGTAGATACTAGCTCCTGTAAGGCTGGGCATCCATGTTGCATTTTACCCATATCGATCGGGTCAAGGGGTCGATTTCCGAGATGCCGTGACGTCAGGTTCGCTAGAATAGAAGTTCCATTTGTAAGTTATTTTTTGTTATAGTTAAAAAGTGTGGGATTTCTTAACTCGTTTATGAGTTAATGTAACAATCATTTATTTTAATCCGTCTGATCAAAATATAATTTTTTATTTAAAATTTCTTATAATTAAGATAATAAAATATCATTCATGTTCCATATCGATTGATCGATTTACATTTCGGAACAAAAAACAAAAATTGATATAATATTCACAATATGACGAAATTACACTGTCTTATTAATGTTAACAAGTTCCTGTATATTCTTGTCTCTGCTTTTGTTTATAATACAGGGACAAATAGACGATGTTCAAACGATAATTATGTAACTTTACTATGGTTTTGTAAAGAACTCAACTTCATGATTTGTTTTAAAACCATTTTTGATTATATGAATTAATTCCCTTTTTTGACTTTTGATGTCGAAATGCGTTTGGCACTAGAATCACATTCAGTGTTAACAGTTTGTTTGTTTGCTTATTTTGTATTCTAAAACACTGCGCGGTATGCAAAGTTCTTCCAGATTTTTATTGTATTTTAATATAGGGGCCTGCATATTCTAGAACTGTGTAGTAGATTGTAGATGCTTCACGCTCTGACGTCTTTGATCCTGGGTAAATATCCCTCGATAAATAATGGGTACGACCCACGGCGGCGCTGATGATTCTGCCAGAAATCGAATCCCGTCTGTCTAGAACGTAACCACTCACTTCACTAAGTGAGCTAGCGAGATTTTGTCAGAGCTGTCCGTTATTACGGGATATTAATTATTTAATCAGTTCGGTTGAAAGCAGTAGATACTAGCTCCTGTAAGGCTGGGCATCCATGTTGCATTTTACCCATATCGATCGGGTCAAGGGGTCGATTTCCGAGATGCCGTGACGTCAGGTTCGCTAGAATAGAAGTTCCATTTGTAAGTTATTTTTTGTTATAGTTAAAAAGTGTGGGATTTCTTAACTCGTTTATGAGTTAATGTAACAATCATTTATTTTAATCCGTCTGATCAAAATATAATTTTTTATTTAAAATTTCTTATAATTAAGATAATAAAATATCATTCATGTTCCATATCGATTGATCGATTTACATTTCGGAACAAAAAACAAAAATTGATGTAATATTCACAATATGACGAAATTACACTGTCTTATTAATGTAGCAAGTTCCTGTATATTCTTGTCTCTGCTTTTGTTTATAATACAGGGACAAATAGACGATGTTCAAACGATAATTATGTAACTTTACTATGGTTTTGTAAAGAACTCAACTTCATGATTTGTTTTAAAACCATTTTTGATTATATGAATTAATTCCCTTTCTTGACTTTTGATGTCGAAATGCGTTTGGCACTAGAATCATTTACAGTGTTAACAGTTTGTTTGTTTGCTTATTTTGTATTCTAAAACACTGCGCGGTATGCAAAGTTTTAACTTGTAGTTGTTAATTTTTTAAATATATAATTAGCTTAAAACATAATTCACCAAACCTACATCTGAATTTACCATTCATTTGGTAATTTTACAGAATGTTATTGAAACTAAGCCAAACTCTTTGTTAAAACTTATGTTTGGCTGCAGATGGCTAGTCAACCAGTGGTCTGGAAAGCCCCTTTGCGTATTTAAGCCGTGTTGCTTTGTTACAAATTTAGCGACCAATATGACGTGTTCCATAGCACGCAACGATGTTTTATTTAAATTCGGAATGAAATGATCGATTTAACAAGTTATGTGATATATTACGTTTGCGGCATCACGAAAACTCTCCATGTTGTATTGTTTAAAATAAATACGTTCTCCGACGTACTGGTGCCACATTCATTAATTTTGAGTACATTTTTAGGTACATACGTACCTTGGAAAATTGTGCAAGTATTCTAGTCATTGATTATTTCGGAGAAACTTACTGTTTCCATCTTCAGGGATGAATATTCTACAAGACTAAACGGCGAAAATCTCAAACTGTGTGTTTTTCTAGTTTATTTTGCGATTATAAAAATAATACTTCGCCCTGTTCTCGATGCTGTCGGGTTTTTCAGCGAACGTCAAAAGAGTGTTACGTTACGCAGTTTGTCTGTTCGGTAACACAGAATTCTCATCAAGCAGAACATGTATCAGTCCTCACGATACTACAAATATTTTATCTCGAAAATTGTAATGTAAAACTTGACATTTGGAACACGATTCAGGGTTATAATCCCAGCGTGATTTTAGATAAGGGTTTAGATAGAATTATAGAATCGCCTCTGTATATTATCATTTCTAAGCCATAAAAGTACCACTGGACCCAGTGGACCCAAGGTTCGTGGGTTCAAACCTGGCCGAGGTCGATGGATTTTTAAGGGTGGTAAAAATCTGTAGCAGAAATTCCTTCGGAGGGGAAGTTCCCATGTCGTAGATTTACGGCACGCAAAAGAACCTTACGAGCATGAACGAGATGTTTCGTAAGTAAAATTCAGCGGCCATTTTTCACCTGTCTCTCTCCTGATTGTCTACTAGATGTCTCCAGCAGTCAAATCAGGATTTAGTAGAAATTGTACAGAGGAAGTTGGCTGGTCACTCACCACTCACAAATGCACGTTTCAAAGACTAGGAAATCCTCCGAAAAGAGTGGCGAAGACCCACAAGTGGGTGCTAGAGCCAAGAAATAATAATAATAATAATAAGAATTTATACCTTGAAATAGCGTGATATAAAATGGACCTTAACAATTTAACGAAAATCGACGAAACCGAATAACTTTATCAGTCGAGACAGTGTCGTTGGCGTGTCTTCTGACTTCACAACATTGGTTCTTGTTTCCAGGATGCCGCTGAGGTCTCGGATCTGCATTTTACTAGGAGCACGACAGGCTGATTCCATTCCGTTAGTTATCACGTTAAAATATTTTTATATCTTTTTTAAATTAAACTTACTTCTCTCTGCTTGCATGCATTGATTCCTGCTTCTGCAGTTTTCTACATTTTATCAGCACTTCAAAATATCACAGCACGTAACACACGTAGCAGCCAAACACCAAGGAATGTGGATAGCCACGTGTTGTCATGGTTACGGAGTAATATTAAAGTTAGTCTTTTGGGTGTGTAATGAAACACGTTTAATTTTCGGGTCAGTTGTGTAGGTGTCGGTATTGTAAAGTATTTTCCATAAGCAACGTAATATTCTGGGTGGAAATTAAAGTGCAAATAGAACACTTAAATGTGGGTCATCTTGATGGATTTGTCTGCATTGCAACTCGTATTACGTTGGCAGGACTGAGCGAGTGTTCAGCTGCATTATAAAAAGTGTAATAAAAGGGCTATAGATTTTGAAGGATACTGATTCGTGTCCTTGCGTTTTCGCAGAAACTAACTAACTAGATGTCTTACCGAACCCTAAGGTTCGTCACCGAATTAACCAAAGCCCTCCACCGGACCCTGTCCTGGGCCAACAAAATCCAGTCTCCTTCAACTCCTATCTCCCATAGATCCCGCCTGAGATTATCCTCCCATCTACGTCTAGGTCTGTCCAGCGGTCTCTTCCCCTCAGGCTTCCCAAATAGTGGACCCAACCAACCAGAGGGCTTACGGAACCCGAAGGTTCATCACCGAATTAACCAAAGCCCTCCACCGGACCCTGTCCTGAGCCAACAAAATCCAGTCTCCTTCAACT